CATCTAAAGACCATTAGCTATAGCTACCAATCTTTCTGTCTTAGTTAGGAGAGGCTAGATTATGCTGCACCGTTAATTCCCAAATTCCAATAGTGTAACACAAAGGAAAGTTTATTTCTTGCTCATAGTTCATGTTCACCAGGTTGTCAGGGGACTTTGCTTATTGTGGTTATTCAGGGATCCAAGCTGATGGAGCTAGCAGCTTACTTAGTGTGCCAGCCAGAGTATGTTACCTTCTTAGGGAAGAGAGATTGGAGAATTAAACATGAATTTTTCTCTGACTTAGCCCTGAAAGGAAATACATTACATTTTCTCATACCCGCTTTGGGTATAGCTAAGTCACATGGCTCTGGTCAATCATAAGAGGCTGAGATGTGCAAGCATCTCTATGCCCAGGACCACTGGATGACACTGGTGGCATTTATAATAACATCTACCACCATTAACCAGTCTTTTTTTTTTTTTTACACACATAGTTTATTGTCAAGTTGGTTTCCATATAACACCCAGTGCTCATCTCCACAAGTGCCCCCCTCCATGCCCATTAACCAGTCTTAAGGCTTCGTTCCTCCACGAAGCTTGCTCTGATCTATTCAGCTTATAGCAATAACCTGTTCATTTGAAGATCTGTTAGCACCGGCCCTTAGCTTTCATTCTCTTTGAATTTTTAACGAACTACTTAGGCGTAGAAGTGAATACGAGTAAATATTAGCATCTTTATGAAAAGTCTCCTAAATTTGATTAGGAGTTCCTTGAAAACAGACAATATATATAGAATTTACATCACCTATTGTGTCATGCATGTCTAGTAAGTGTGGAAAAATGTAGTTTATGGGTAAAGCCTATATGCAAGGGGTAGAAAATAGATAATAAGCAAATTTGCTAATGTAATTTATTCCACCCATGTACAGCAGCTTACTTATGGAAGAAGGTGATCATAACAAATTAATCAAGGGTCCTTGCAATCTTTGTCTGGTCTTTGAAATGGCAGTATGATCTCTTGTTGCTGAGTGCCATGCATACATTGTGATTATGATAGAACACGTTCAATTTTTCTGGCTTTCCTCCACTAGGAGAAAAACAAAAGGAGGACCTCGAAAGAGAGGAGACCCAAGAGTTAAAGACAATGGTTTCAGTAGTCCAAGCGGAAGAAGGAAAGTCACAAAGCCACTCAATCAATAAGCATGGGAAGGAAGAATAAAACAATATGTAAGACATGGTGCTTGCCTGCAAAAGGTTTATAGCCTGGGTGCCAAGATAAGATATAATTATGGAGAGAGCACTCAATGTATATAGTAGCGTGTGAGATGCTTCACGGCATAAAGCTTGAGAAACTTTCTGTGTTAGTTATCAAATCCTACATCACAAATTACACTGAAATGCGTTAGCTTAAAACTGCAATAAACATTAATGGTCTCGTGCTGTGTCTGTGGCTCAGGAATTAGGGGCAGGCTTAGCTGGGTGGTTCTAGGTGTCTCTGTCAGCTAGGTCTACAGTCATCTGAAAGCTTGACTGAGGCGGGAGGATACACTTCAAGGTGTCCTTCTTATATGCCTGCAGGTTGGTGCTGGATGTTGGGGGAGAAGCCCCCATGTGGGCTCCTCTCCACAGGCTGCTTGAATATCTTCATTGTAGGTTGGCTGCCTTCCTCCAGGGAGAGAACAAGGTCAAAGCTTTAATGTCTGTTAAGACCTAGCCTCAGAAGGGACACACCATCATTTCTGCAATATCGTTTTGGTTACACACATCAGTCCTATTCTTTTTTTTTTTTTTTTTTTTTTTTTTAAATGTTTTTTATTTATTTCTAGGAGAGAGAGAGACAGCGTGAGCAGGGGAGGGTCAGAGAGAGAAGGAGTCACAGACTGAAACAGGCTCCAGGCTCCGAGCTGGCAGTCAGCACAGAGCCCGACGCGGGGCTCGAACCCACGAACCGCGAGATCGTGACCCGAGCGAAAGTCGGACGCTTAACCAACTACGCCACCCGGGCGCCCCAATCCTATTCTTTATAGGAGATGACTACCTGGAGGCAAAAATCACTGGATGCCATCATAGATACTAGGTGTCAGACCCTCCATGCTTTTGTGAAGGGAAAATCAGATTAAAAATAAATGTCATGTGCATTCCTTCCAGATATTGGAGAAGAGAAGTTCTAACAAAGTAACTCCGGGTGTCTTTCTGGTAGAAGTATGGAGCCGCTGGGGACTGGTGATATGCATATCTGACTCAGTTCTTCCAGCTGGGCAGACTTCCTTTTATTTCCTTTGTCCTATACTTTTCTGAGTCACTCCTTAGCCACTGCCAGAACAGGATGATTTTGGCAATTTAAAAAAATCTATAATTGTATGAAAAAGAACTCTGATTTCCCTCTAAGTGAACCTCCTCTGTGGAATATGTAACTATTCAGTCTCTGTGCTCTGTTTCATCTAGGAGCAGTGGGTCTATTTAGGAAGAAATGAATGCTTGTTAGTTTTCTCTGTGAAAAGATGTGGTGCCCTCTCTTTGCTTCAGCCTTGTCATCCTTAGAATGGGGATAACCATCCTTTCAGGGAGTCTTGAAACTTCAGTGACCTAACAGGTGTGAACTGCCTAGCACAGAGCTTGAAACAGAGCTGGTGCCTAATAACTGCTTGGCCCTGACTATTGAGAGTCTCTTGGTGCAGAATCGCCTGATACTAAGAGAAATGGAATACGTATAGATGATTAAGACAAGAATTCAGAACCTCATAAGACTCCAAAATGGATCAATTTAATGATATAAATTAAAAATAAACTGAATCACATTAGGCCTGTCTAATACATCACTGCTTTTATCTAAACAAATACTTTATTTTTTTCTAATGGAAGTTTCTGCAATGGTGCAAATGTGTCATATGTAGCCTGACGAATACAGTGGTCACTAGCCTCATGGCTATTGAGCACTTGAAACAAGATTGGTGGGATTAAGGAGTAAAATTGTATTTAATTTGACTTTATTTAAATTTAAATAGTCATGTATGATTGGTGACTATCATATTAAATAACAGATTAGAATGCCTAATGTATGTGATTATACTTTATTTAAAAAATTTTTTTAGGGTTCATTTTTGAGAGAGAGACAGAGAGAGCACCAGTGGGGAAAGGGTAAAGAGAGAGGGAGACACAGAATCTGAAGCAGGCTCCAGTCTCTGAGCTGTCTGTCAGCACAGAGCCCGATGCGGGACTCAAACCCACAAACCAAGATCATGAGTTGAGCTGAAGTCGGATGCTTAACCGACTGAACCACCCAGGAGCCTCCTCATGTGATAATTCTTTCTATATCAGGAAACAAATGTGGAAGAGATTTTGAGTTTTTTGACCAACAGATGCTTTTGCTTCTATATACCATCTTTATCTATTTTGTGTGGTACTGATTTGAACAGTTGGTTTGTTGCTATCAAGAAATTTTCTTAATGCTAACATATAGATTTACTGCCTATTTTATTGTGAACTAAGATGATTCAGAAGCTGAGCAGTAACTATGGATTTGGATAGAAAAAGCTGATGAGAGATAGAGTTGAATTCCTGCATGCATCTACACTCCTTCCTGCTTTCCTTGGAATCAATATAATCTTTTAGGATTTCGCTGTACTTTCCATGGTATTTTCTAGGTTGTATTAATCAATCTAATTAATTAATTAATCTCATTATACTTGAGGGCTATGCATTGGATGCCTAAGAGTATCCACCAATATCCCCTGAAGCAATGTTAAAAGTCATATACTTTCCAATGCTGGAAATTATTTGGCTTATCATGCCCTTGGATAGATTCTCTTGGTAGGGTTGGAATGAAAGCAAATAACTGATTTATGCAAGACCTTCAAATGAGGACAACTTATGCTTTAATCTCATCTGCCATCAGTCTTTCTTCAGCCTGATACAGGACACTCCTTTGTTCCCTGCATATGCCATACCATATACCTTGTTCCCAAAGTTCTGACTTTACTGATGATGTTTCTTTCTGCTGCCCCTTCTCTCTTTGATAAAGGTACTCATTCCATATCTCAGTCCTGTTCTGAAACTACCTAACTCTTGCATTGAGAGAGAGCACAATGAGGTGTGTAAAAGCATGGGCTGTGGAGTTGACCACAAGGGTTAGAATCTCAGCTTCACCACTTACTGATGGGGATTTAGGCCTGTTTAATTTTTTTTAACCTACCTGTGCCTCAGCTTCCTCATCTGCAGAATGGGAAGGATCATGATTGTACCCAGTTGGCTTATAAAGATTGGGGAGACAGATATTCAGTAAATACTAGCTATAGTTTTTATTCCTTGTTCCCTTGTACTTTGTTCATACTTTTATGATGTTTATATTAAGGTTGTGTTAAGGTCCCTATTACATTTCTCTGTAATGGCTGTCCATGTTTCCATCTTCCACTTCCGGTATGAGCAGTTAGAAGTAAAGGACAATATCTTTTTCACTATTGTATCCGCAACACCTTTCCCAGGGACCAACAAAGGGGGATACTCAATATCTATTTTTAAACAAATGAATGAATATAGGAATGAATTTATTTATTTCACAAATGAGCACCCATCAAATACTTAGCAAACCTGAGACTGATGAATGATAAGGTATATTTTAATATTCATTTTCTCCAACCTATTCTCTTGTGCAATATTTAAGGCATTAGTGGTGTATTAGTTTTCTGTTGCTACCATAATAATTTTAATGAACTTCATGGCCAAATGCAACATACATTTGGTACAGTTTCTGTAGGTCAGAAGCCCAAAATGAATGCTGTGGGGCTGAAAGCAAGGGGCTGTGTTTGTCTCTGGAGGCTCTTGGGAAGGAACTACTTCCAAGGTTAGGTGGCTGGCAGAACACAGTTCTTTGTGGAAGTTCCTCTTTCTTGTGGGTTGATAGCTGGGGATGACCCTCAGCTCCTACTGTCCTCTCTTCAGTCATCCCTTGTAGCTCCTATTATGACACATCTGAGTTCTCGTGTTTAGAATCTTTGATTTCCCATTGGCTGCATCTCTCTTCTATTATCTCTTCCTGACTGACTCTTCTACCTTCCACTTATGCTTTTAAGGCCTCATGTGAGTACACTGGACAACTCAAAGTAATCCAGGATAATCTCCCAATGTTAAAGTCAGCAGACTAGTAATCTAAGTGACATCTGCAATGTAAGTCTCTTCAAAGACACACCTAGGTTAGAAGAATTAAGGAACAGGAATCCTACAGGGGCATCTGTGGAGTTGTGCCTGTCACAATGGTCAGGTAATAGCTATGTTTAGGCTCTTAGAAAAATCCACCATTTTTGCACTTACCTTGCATTTAAATGGGGGCAGGGATTATGTCTGTTTTATTCACTACTTTATGTTCAGCACAGTGCCTATCTTATAATAAATATCCTATATGTATTTGTTAAACACACTGAACTCCCTAGACCTAGATCTTTTTTAGAAAGATGATTTTGTTCTAGACTATTGAAATGATCAAACCAGCTTTTTACTTTTATTTATTTTTTAAAAATTATTATGTTTATTTTGGTTTTGACTTTACTCTTTGGGCCCTTATGACTCTGGGTTTACCAGTTGACCCCTTATCTTCTTTTAAGTTTTTGTGCCCTTTAACATATTCTCCTAAAAAACACCCTGGACCTATATTTGAAACTTTGGGTCTATTATTACAGTAAAAGGCAAAAGATTTATGTGATCTGAAGAGAAACCAGAGTATGGGGTCTATTATTATAAAGGTATCATGAGGGACTAGATTGTCAGTGATGAGAATGGTGAGGGCAACAGTGATGGTGATCTTCTGGGTTTCAACCAGGGGCGATGTTGTTCCCACCCCCACCCTGCTGACATTTGGCAATGTTTGGAGATGGCTTTTGGTTGTCACAATTAGGAGAGAGGTTCCTATTGGCATCTGGTTGTTAGAGGCCAGGCCTGATGCTCAGGATAGCCCTGCCAAACAATTATGTAGGCCAAAAAAAAAAAAAAAAAAAAATGTATGTCTTATTCATTCAGAATAATGTATGTCTTATTCATTCTATCGTGTATGTTTCTCAAGTGTGGCTCTTCTGGGAGGTTCTTGAGTAGTATCCATGTTCCTTCCACTTTGTAGTTCTAACTTCAACAAGTAGCCATCAGGTCACTGAGAAAGGAATAGGAAAGAATAAAAGAGAGAGCCTTGAAGATTTCTACGGGTCCTTCCAGGAAGGGGTGTACATTGCTTCTGCCATGTTTTATTGATCAGAACTCAGTCATTTGAACCCACCTAACTAACTATTTAGAGCTGGGAGTTGCATTCCAGCCCTGTGCCTGGGTAAGCACTAGTGGCCCCTGCCAGAAAAAATAACCACCACAACAGCAGCAACAACAACATTAATACCAATGACATGTAGCATTTATTTGAGCTCTTGCATTGCCAGGCATGCATAATGTAATTTGTCTAAAGGTGTAACTGAGGCTCAGAAAACTTGAAAACTTCATCCAATTCATGCAGAGTTCCGTGGGCAGTTGAGAAGTGTTGCATTTCCCCACTCCTGGGTACTCTCTCTGTGGCAGGAATGGAAGATTGCCCTTAGTGGGGCTTAATTTTTATGAAATAGAAACTCTACCTCTAAGCACCATAAATGCAGAATGTTTGAGGTTTCTAAAACTGCTTAAGCAATCTTTCCTGAAGAGCTGCTGAAATCCTTTTCAGGGAATATCAATATACAGATTGCATTCCAAGTTTTTGTCTGGATCACCAAAGAATAGACAGGAAGAGATGAATATCGTGGGTGAAGCCTATCGTAGTGCTTTTAAATCATCCTGTTGCACTTAGGCATTGCAGCATGTGATTATGTATATTTCATATAAGCCTTCAGTAGTCCAGAGGGACTGCTGGCCTAGGTAATGAGCACTGCTAGGAATCTTGACAGCAAACTCTAAATGGTTTCAATGCCTCAGAGTTTCAAGAAAGTGGGCCTTTCTTTAAGTGAATGGCTTTTCTGTCCTATTTGGGTAATTTATTCTTATTCATCTTATATTAGTGGCAGGCCTTGTGTCACATGTAATAGTTATAATAAGGCATTCACCAAAGCTTCCTTTTAGGGGTGGAAAGCACTTTGGGTATTATTGTCATGGAACAAGATAGAAGAGAGAACAGAAGCCCTCGCTTCATAAAGGCCACACTGGTAGAGAAAGCAATATCAGTGGGTGAGAGGTGTGAGCAGGTTCAGAGTCTTGGTTTGGAATGACAATGCAACGCTTTCCTGGAATGTTCTAATCAACTTTTCAGGGTCTGAAAGCTGGTCATAGATGGGATGGCTCAGAATGCTGCACCTTCATTATCGGCTTCTGCTTTGACCACATCACAGCTCAAGATTCTCACCGAATTCTGTTTTGTGCCATTAAAATTGAACTTCTAATCCTATTGCTCTAAAGCTTTTATTATTTTTTTTTTTAATGAAAATAATCCTTTTCTTCCATCCTATACCCTCCTCTGCTAAACACTGCCTTTCTCTTTCTATTTTCTTATAAGAATGTCTGCATTATCACACTGGTTTAGACCTTTGATTCAAGTATCCATTCAGAAATTATTTTCTGCATAACACCATGTGTTTAGCACCGTGTTGGGCCTTGGGCCAGGGTAGAGACTGAGACAAACACAGAGCCATCCAACTGCAAAGAAGCCATGCGCTAAGGTGAGAACTAGTACTCTTTGGCCACAAATAACAACAACATCTGTAACAATACTGTCTAACATCTATTAAGCTCTTAACAATTTCAACCCATTCAAATTTATATTCTATTTCTGATAATGATTGTTAGAACATTGAAGAAGAATGCCACTAACGTTCAATACATGCTCATTTTCAACAAGCACTGGGGCAAGGGCTTCCCATATATCAAGTCAGTTAATCCTCTTAAATCACTATTGATAAGGTTTTTATGGTTTTACAGATGAGGAGACTGAGGCTTCAGAGAATTAGAGGTTTATGTCAAATCACATAGCTGAGAAGTAGAAAATCTGGGACACAAACCCAGGGTTGTTGACTCTTTCACTTGTGCTCTAAACTCAGTTGTCCAGAACCCCAAGCATATTTGGAAGAACACTGACTTTTCCTTGATGCCTAACTGAAATAGTAAAAGGTATATCCCACTCACTAAAACCAGCCTTAATAATTTTTGTTTTTATTAATTTATCATGAGTCTGTTTTTCATGCATGTTCTTTTTTTTTAATTTTTTTAACATTTATTTATTATTGAGAAACAGAGAGGGACAGACCATAAACATGAGCATGGGAGGGGTATGGAGACAGGAAGACAGAATCTGAAGCAGGCTCTAGGCTCCGAGCTGTCAGCACAGTGCCCGATGCGGTGCTCAAACCCATGAGTGGTGAGATCATGACCTGAGCCGAAGTTGGACGCTCAACTGACTGAACCACCCAGGTGCCCCTGTTTTTCATATGTGATCTTGAACTGTTAAAAACCCTTCCTCCCAAGATGGTGTCAGCATCATGGTAAGTTACAACTAGCCATTCAATGTGTATATATGGGCGCTTACTCTATGCCAAAATCTGGGTGGAAGGAACAGACATCTTTGCCTTCAAGGCTTTTACGATTTAGAGGGGAATACAGTTATTAATCCAATTAATCCCAAGTGTCATGTGCATTATAAAGAAGGAAGAAGAGCTTGTTATGGGAAGTAGACCATACTGGTTTTGGAATGGGGCGTGGTGATGGATATCCTCCCTGTAAAAAGGAGTACATTCTCAGAAGCCAAGTATGAGTCGCCATTAGATGAGTGAAGATGCTCATGGTGTCGCATGGTCTTACAGCTGCAGAGAGTAGAGTAGGATCTATGTACTGAAAGAAAATGGCAGGCAGAGCATGGGGAGGACAGTGTGGTAGGAGATAAAGGGGGTGATACAGGCAGGGGCAGATTATGAAAAATCTTGTAGATGGTGGTAAGGCTTTGGGTTTTTATCATAAAAGCAATGGTGAGCCATTGGAGATCTTTAGGTAAAGGAGGGATTTGAAATACGTGAATTTTTAAATGATTGACTTTGGCTGCACTTTGGCTGGAGAAGGGGTGAAACTAAGGAAAACCAGAAGCTGAGAGAGAAATTTGAAGTCTTTCCTGAGAGTTGTTGTAATTCCCATATCCTTGGATTTGGTGAATCAACCCTGGTTTCCCTGTGTCTGTGCCTTTTGTAATTTTGAAGACATCAATTATATCACCACGTGTCCCACCTCTGACAACTCAGAAACACACTTTTCTATCCTGGATGCATTACTATTTTGGATGATGGCCTCAGGACCTTTCCATTGCAGTATTTGCATGCCCACAGCCACATCCTCAGCCGAGTTAAATGTGGAGAACAGTCTCCCTTTCCTCTTCATCAAACACTTTAACTGACACATCCTCATGATTACAACTTAATTTCACTTGTCTAAGCAGAAGTGATGCAACTTCCCCCTAAAAAATTGAGACTCTTTAAGCATATACCCTCATATTAGGTAGCATGGATATTTATCTGATTCTTTGCTTTTCTTGCTTTCTTTTATTTCTTTTGGATTGGTTTCACCTTAATTCTAGCTCATTTATCTTGTCAGTCTTAGATGAAGGGTTCTTTAGGGTTGGAAAGAGGTAAACATATGATCTTCTAGGCTATGGGAGATCCACGGAGTGCCAGAATCCTAAGGAGGTACCATAAGGAAAAAGCAATGAATGTGGTTACTTTTGCCCCATCAGAATTGGAGGTTTATGTTAAAGGTGGTATATGAATTATGAATGCTTTCAGCTACTAGTAACAGAAAACTCAGGTAGTATTGGCTTAACCCATAAGAATATTTATTTGCCTATGGAGGCAAAAGTATAGGGGGCAAAAGTTTCCAGGGTTAGTTTGATAGCTCAGTCATCATGGTCATGGACACCTCATGGCTGCCACAGCTCCAAACACAAAGTTTCTACACGACAGTGTCCAAAACAGAAAAGAAGAGAGAGATGGAGGTGTGGGGGATGGCTTTTCCTTGTGCAACTCTGTTTTGTTTTTGTTTTTTTTAATTAAACATCTGAATCTTTCATGGAAGTGCCGCTCATTGATTAGGACTAGGTCACATGCCTATTACTGAAGATCAACTAATAGCAAAAGGAAATAACATTGCCACGATTCATTTAGATCAGTCATTATCCATTATCTAAAGCTGGACGTATTGTTGTCCATCAAAATTTGGGTTCTGTTATGAAAGAAGGAGAACATGTATTGTCATGTTTGCATTAAGAAATTATAATTATAAAATTACTAAAATAGGGTCTATGGGGAAGACTATTGCAGGAATTTTCAGAGATAAGGAAATGGAAGCAAATGAGGTGACTAGCTCCCTCATTCACTGGCACAAAAGCAATTGTGAATAATACCCTTAAGCCTCCCAGATGTCATGGAGTCCCTTAGCCTTTTTTACTCATCCCACGTATACCTCTGTGTACCGGACATTAATGGTTTCCTTCCTGTGATCCATTTTCCTATCCTTTTTTTTTTAAGCTCACTTATTTATTTTGAGAGCGGGGTAAGGAGCAGACAGAGGTAGTGAGAAAATCCCAGGGAGACTCCACACTGTCAGTGCAGAACCCAATGCAGGGCTCAAACTCACAAAACATGAGACCATTACCAGAGCCAAAATCAGATGCTTAACCAACTCAGCTCTCCAGGGGCCCTCCTATCTTTTATTTCTAACGTAAATCTGATTTCATTTGGACCTGTAATGTCCAGCTCAAATGCCTTGTTTCCCATACTCCCTTACAGTTAAGAGAGGCTATGTGATCCACTTCTGGCGAAAAGAGATGTTTGTGAAAGTCACTGGATAGAACTTTCTGGATAGCTTCTAAAAAGAGACGAACTCAGCTGGCATCTTCCCTTTGTGTTTTGCCCTTTGCTCTTACCTCCTTCTTGCCTAGAGTGAGGATGCCATGCCTGGAGGCACAGCATCGTCTAGGACAGTGAAAGAGAAAGCCCCCTGTCTAAGGACAGTGCAACCGAAAGATAGAAGGAGCCTGGGACATTAATGACACAGGAAGGCACCATCCCATTGCCAAATGGCTTACCTTCATACATCTTGCAACATGAAAAAAAAAAGTGACAGAAAAGAATGCTCTGGGTTTACATCACTCTTGGGCTGTTATTCAGGTTGTGATTACTTGTATCTGAAGCAATCCTGGTTGATAACCCTACAGACCTGGGAGCATGGCATAGGAGAGTGAAAACTCATGTTAGTCAGGGTTATTAATTGCCAAGAAAAGATCTAAGAAGCTCTATATGACAAAAGTTAGGGAAAGAAGGGAAGTGAAAAATATAACTGGACTGATGTGAGTATGAAATGTCCCAGCGTTCCAACACTTCAAGCTTACTCATTCTATTAGTCAATTTTATTAGTGCCTCCATATGCTTTGTGGGAGGATGATACTCCAGTGGCTGGATGGTTTGGAAGAATCACAGGCAAGAAGTTTACATTCTGGTACCACTGGTGAATCTGAGCATTTCTACTTCCTTCAACCTGGGTGTTATTTTTTAAAAAGATTTGTTCATTGTATTTGCTTTTGTTTGGTGTTTATGGTTTTTCACACTAAGATAATTAGGCCCCACATTAAGTTTTGCATGAAAGATATCTATGCTGTGTTATTTAAGACATTGAAGAGATGATGTTTAACATATTTGGGGGCTGGAAATTGGATACTTGTTTGTATATGAGGCAGAAAATACATTGCAGGTGAACATTAATGCAAAATAAGGCTTGTCCTATTGTTGGTGTTTGCAATATAAACAATGTAAACTTCCTGTCTTTCAGGAAGTTCAAGTTTACTAACTAGTGGATAAAGAGATGAAAGATGAAATGAAGCACAAGGTCAAAACTCTCATTAAATCAACCGACATTTTATCTTAGAGTCAGGATTGCCTTATTATATAGCAACTGTGCTCAAATACAGGGGTGACATTTGCTTTCTCCCCAAATTTATATTTGGGTCCTTTCAAGTGCTGCTTTGGGAAGTCACGATGGGCTGAATTGGCCTCACCTCCCTTCCAAAAAAGATGAAAGTCATCTGCTGAGATCAATAGAAAAAGAGTAAGGAAATTGAATATAGAATTAGTCATGATTCTAGAGGCTGTGACTTCACAATTTCAAGTATTGAATGTTCTAAACTGACCTTCTGAAAAATCACTTCAAAAAACAAGAGATGGGTCTATCATGAATATCAAAATCTATGCCTCTAGGAGGATGAAGTTTTCTTTAAAACAGAAAGCTGCTTATATAAATGGGCACCTCTGCCTTAAGAGACAACTTCCAGAGATGGCATTACATGTGATTGAAGGAGTGCCATGTCTTAAACTGAGAGTAGCTAATGTGTTCTGGAACATTCTCTTGGAGGAAAAAAATGGCAGATCTTATATGCTGAAGACACCTTTGCCAGAGTTTGAATTAAATGTATGTTTTTAAACATCCACTTAATGAAATAAAAAACATAAGTAGATGTTTGAACTTTTTTTTGCATATCCTTATGTGTTTATATATATAAGTCGACCATCCTCCCTTTTGAAAATTATAATCTTTTCACTGAGAAAGTGGAATATTGCTTTATATTCAAGATTGCCCTATATTTGGCATTACTAGCTGTTCTTTCCAATTTAGTCTCAGTACTTCCTTC